TAGGCAGGTGGTCTTTATATAGAGGTTGTCATACACGCAGGTTTGTCTGTATGTGTAATATAATTTAAATTTTCATTTTCCTAGGTATACAACATTTACATGGCTGGTAGAATGCTTTGTTCGCATCGATATCGAGAGTTTTCTGCCTTGCATCAGCAGCTCAAAAGAGAATTTCCAGATTTTCAGTTCCCTAAATTTCCCGGAAAGTGGCCATTTTCACTTTCTGAACAACAGTTAGATGCTAGAAGGAGGGGTGTAGAACAATACTTAGAAAAAGGTAGGTTATGTAAGATACTATGACTTTGTAAATCTTCAGCCATTCATATTCAACTAAAGTATGTTATCAAGGTTTTGAACCCGTATGCTACTCTGTACAGTGAGACATAATGGTACCTGCATGTAGAGGGCGCTATTTATACATTGTGCTACACTTAGTCATGTTCTTCAAATTGTAGAAATCTGTTATTTTCGTGCGTCATGTGTAAAATTTCAATAGTAGTCTGAGAACGAAATCGCATTCCCTGTTATAATATATTGTATTGTTCATATCCATTTATATTTGTTATCCCTTATCTTTTAGTTACGTCAGTGCGAGTGATAGGAGAAAGCGACATAATACAGGAATTTCTTGCTGATATGAATGAAGAAAATGGAACGGTGAGTCACAAATCTCTTTTTATTCTCCTATTCCTTGGTTGATTTCTTTTGAAGTCCTTAAACATTATTATCACTATCTTGTTTCAGCTGTTGATATCGGTACTTGAAGATAATTAAAAATAAATCAGTAATGTCAAATGTGACTTCTTGTCTCAGTGTTGCGCAACGTAGACATTCTACAGTTAATTTTACTTTAAATTCTAGAGTTCCAATACTGGGACAACCGAAGTAGAACTCAGAGTATTACTGCCTGACAGAAACACATTGACTGTAACAGTTAGAAGAAACAGTCCTACAGACGAAGTCTATGAGGTAACTATCAATTCATATAATACAATGCATTATGTATTGTAATCCTTTTAAGTGCATCTTTCTTGTACTCTTGATAAAAATGAACATGCAATGGCAATGTTGCCAAACTGAAATATGTGTAGTGTATCTTTTATACATTAACTGTATGTTGGTTTTGTTGTGTTGCTAATGTAACAACATACAATGTATATGCAGTGTTTTGTTTCAGCATGCCTGCTGCTGAGTTCTCATACTGCTTGATATTCCATGGCACATGATAGGTGTTGACTGGGGATATAGTGGTTACCAGTGTCTGTTCATACAGAGTCTTATCAGGAACACTATTGCAGATAGACATTCACACAGTGTTGTATTGAAGACATTGCACACTGGAAATGATTGACATATTTATTAACCATGTATGGTCATGTGACCTTATTAAAAATGCATAAATATCATATCTGGAGCACTATTGCAACTTGATATTCTACCAGTGCTTTATTGAAGACATTGAGTTCATGATCTGATCAACATATTAACTGACCAGATATGGTCAATTGACCTCATTAAAAATGCATCACCATCTTACCTATAGCACTATTGCAGATAGACATATTCAAGACACTTTCTGATTAACATATTTAATAACTACATGTATATATAGTTATGTAACCTTATAAACAATGCATAACTATCATATGGGGAATGATATTAGACATTCAACCAATGTTTGTAATAAAGATGCCTGGGGATCTGTCATTTCTAATGGTTTTTCTTTTTGTCACAATAGGCTGTTGTTGATAAACTAGGAATGGATGAAGAAACCGCAAATGTCTTTGCTTTATATGAGATTATGGACTACACATTTGGTATGTGCTAAATATTATTTAGTTGAAAATTCTCCTAATAGCAATTCAAAATCCTTTCAAATATTTGGTACTCTTAACTCAGCCCACCATTCAACCATTCTTGACTTCATAGCTCTAACCATGCACTCACTCACCCGACCACAATTCACTCTTTACTCACTCACCCAACCACTACTCACTCTTTACTCACTCACCCAACCACTACTCGCTCTTTACTCACTCACCCAACCACTACTCGCTCTTTACTCACTCACCCAACCACTACTCACTCTTTACTCACTCACCCAACCAACCAACCACTACTCACTCTTTTCTCACTCACCCAACCACTACTCACTGTTTACTCACTCTTTACTCACTCACCCAACCAACCAACCACTACTCACTCTTTTCTCACTCACCCAACCACTACTCACTCTTTACTCACTCACCCAACCACTACTCACTCTTTACTC